GTCCGGCCCCGCCCTCCCCGGGACCCCGCGCCCGCCCGGCTGCGCGGGAGCGCGGGGCCGGGAAACTTTCCTCCCATTGTGGTTCCCCGCTCGCGTGCGGAGCGGTCTGCGCGCAGGAAAAATGTCCTTCTTCAATTTCCGTAAGATCTTCAAGTTGGGCAGCGAGAAGAAGAAGAAGCAGTACGAGCACGTTAAGAGGGACCTGAACCCCGAGGAGTTTTGGGAGATCATCGGCGAACTGGGCGACGGCGCGTTCGGGAAAGTGTACAAGGTAAGGGGGAGACGGGAAGTTGCGCTGGGAATTACCCGGCGCGTCCCTTCCCTCGACTTCGCGATGGTGCGTTGGAACTTTACTTGGCTTTAGACCGCGGGGCTGGCTTTGGGTGAGCGCGGTGCGGCCGGGTGTAGTTTGAAGAGTGATCGCCGCGGAGGCAGGGTTTCCACAGTCCACTGCCAGACTTCAAAGGCGGGGAGCTTGCTTCAGTTTGGGGAGGCGGTCTGGTTGTGGTCCTCAAGGGTCTTAAAATCGGAAACTCGTACGTAGGTCTTTTCGGTGGATGCTTCTGTACCGATTGCATTTGCGTGCGTGCGTGTGCTGAAGCAGTTTACTTTTTGAGGACTCGGGCATATATCTGGCAGCCTCTGTGTAATACATAACAATTCTCTTGGGATCCGAGTAAAGTGATTGCCACTTGCAGACTCTTCTTGAATCGGTTGCTTGACCCTGTGCTGTAAAATGGAATGGAATTGCTGGTAGAACATTTCCAGAAGAAGAAGAGCATCTGGTGCTAGTTTCTAAATATAATTACAATAAGCGTTGACTAGAAGTCAGTACCAGCGCTCAAGCGATGAAAAGAAAGCACACGTACGCTGTCCACACATACTTGTTTCAATAAAAAGAGGTTTGACGTTTCAACCTGAAAGCATTAATGTGAACCGTTTACACTGTCAGGAGCGTAGGAATGATGTCATCGGAATATTTTCATCCTGAAGGGTGAGGTTTTTATGAGGCACAGTTTAGAGGAAGGGCCCACACTTGCCTGGAAGTGAAAACATAGATAACTCACACGAGTACAGAACTTTGCAGTTTTTAAGCACGTTCACATCGTTTGGTCCCTATAAAAATCCGGGAAGTCGGCACGCCAGTGGTAGCACCCACATTTTGACGGTGAAGACGGGAGACTCAGAAAGTATTCACAGTTATGCGAGTCACAGCCTAGACTTGAACTTAAATCTTCTGACCCCATATTTAATAGATTATTTTTACTGTAACATCTACTGGCAGAAATGATAGCGTTTTCCCTTACTTTTGAGCACCACTTCTGCCTTTGCCTTCCCTCAAATGCAACTGGCCATACCCCAGTCCTCATTCTTTACTCAGTCAGAAATACCTACTCTTTTCTGAGTGCATTCAAAACACATTGTTCACATGGCTACTACAGCACTTGTCATATTTTGTAGTCAGTATATTTGTGTTCTGTAGTAAAACAGTGGGCCGAAATTATAACGTACATTTGGGATCCCCATTGCCTCGTGTGAATATTAATGGTGGCAAAGTAATCTGCAGTGTTTGTGTGGAGGGTAGCATGGTGTCAGCAAGAACTTGCCATGTCAGATGCGTGGTAGGAAGGGCTTTTAGTGTAGTGGGAAGATCACTCCTGGGAGTCAAGAACCGTGTTTTAGTGCTTGGCTGTGACAAGCCAGCTTTGTGATCTTGGACCAAACGCTTGACTCCTTTGGGTCTCCTGTTTTCTTAGCTGTAAAACCGTAGATTTTCCTAAACATTTATTCAGATCCCTTCATCTAGTAACATACTTTGAGTTGGCTAGGAAAGGCAGAGGTAAATTCTCAAGGCTTGTAGTGAGAGGGTGGTAGGTGCTAATGGCAAACATGCTTCATTGAATGTAGGTGGTGTAATTTGAAGAGCATAGGCTCTGGAGTCAGTGTGTCTCCCTACTCAGTGGTAGTCTGTGACCTTGGGCAGGTTGTGTGTTTGTCAGACCTGAACATTGTATGTGGTAATATGCAGCAGAAAACTTTGTAAACTTCATTCTAGCTATCATTCCCTTACGGAAATTGGTAGCTATTACAAAGATGAAATTGTAGCTAGGAAGTCATGTTGTGTATTTAGTTTAGCTTGAATCATCTTTACATTGCATAGGTGTATTCGCCAAGTCCAGTTTTATACAACTCTAACAAAATTACTTTCTTAAGAAGCTTAACAATGTTACATTTGGTTTCTCTTTTTAATGTTGTATTGTATGGTGTATAAGTGAAAATATGTAATGTCCTTCACAGTATTTTTATATTTAGATTTCTACTGTTTTAAACAGAAAAAGTAATAGCTAAGTTATATATTGAATATTTGTGGAAAGCTGTTTTAGCTCTTAAACGAATTGAAACTGGATTCTTAGGTGTGTGCTGAATGGAAGTGATTTTTAGAACTGATAAGTTTCGCCAAAAGTAGTGAAATATTTAATTTTTAATTTAAAAGTACAAAAATATATAGATAATAGTAAAGTGAATTTGTAGTAATGTCGGAACCAAGGAATTCTGCCAGCACCCCAGACTCCCTCCCACCTCCTTTCTGAATCAGATCTCTCTTCTTTCCCCCTAAAGGAAACCACTATCCTGTTATTTATTTGAATTTTAAAGTAGTTTTCCATCTAGATGTCTATCTCTGAACATTATGAATTTAGTTTAGTATGCATTTGAACTTTATAAGAATGGAATTATAGTAAGTGTGTTCTGTTCTGTTTTGTCTCTTTCAAAATCAGCATTATATATCACCGTCCTAGAACTATATTATCAGTTCACTTTCATGGTTGCATAGTATTCCCATATATCATTATATCACCAGTTATTTACCATTATATCCCTAAAGGACACATTGGCTGTTTTCAGTGTTTGGCTGTTACACCTCATATTCATGCACATATGTATGATTTTCACTCAGGAGTTTTCACTCTGAACCCAGGAGTGGAATTGCTAGGTTCAGAGTAGTGTAACTTTAATTTTACCTAGATGATGCTAAAGTAGTTGTATTACTTTATGCAGTGCATGAAAATGTCCTTGTTTTGGATTCTGATCAACGTTTGATATTGTCAGAATTTTTGACAGTCTGATGGTATAATACTTTGATTGCTAATGAGTAATTTTTTTGTATATTTATCGGTAAGTTGGCTTGTATATTTATTGGTAAGTTGAATTTCTTTTGTGTTCCATTCTTTTGTTAATTTTGCTATTGATCCTTGTCTTGTTTATTTGTAAGTATATGTGTATACTACATACATATGTATGTATATTAGAATTACAAATGCATATGTATTTTGAATTTTAACCATTTGCTGGTTATGGTTATTGCAAATAAGGCTCATTCTGTGACCTTTTTCCCTCTCATCATAGTATATTTTTATTAACAAAAAAAATTTTGTTTTGAGTCAGGGTTTCTTTATGTAGTTTAGGTTGGCCTTGAACTCACTGTGGGCCCCAGGATGGCCTTAATTCACATTGATCCTCCTGCCTCAGCCTCCTGAGGGCTAGGATTACAAGCGTGTATTACTGTACCCAGCTTAACAGAATTACTGATTTTAATGTAGCCTAATATGTCAGATTTTTCTTTTATAACTAATGCTCTGTATTATGTTTAAAGCATTCTTTCTTAGCCTGAGAACATGAAGATGCTCCCCCACTTTATCTTCTAAAAGTTTTATTATTTTGTTTTAAGTAGTTAGGAGACTAATTCACCAAGAGTAGATGTGTGTGGTGTGAGATAGGGGTCTAATTTCATTTTTCTCCCCGTATGCATACACAGTTATCTCAAAACTATTCACTGCGGGGTGGAGAGAGGGTATCTCCTTACTGCTGTGCAGTGTCTTATCATATATGTATGTTTCTGCAGTCTTTATTTCTTCATCAGTCTATTTGTCTATCCTGCTATGTTAATTAAGAAAACAATCTCTGCTAGAGTAAGGCTTCTTCAGTTGTGTCTAGTATGTTCTTATCTTTTCCCTTCCGTTCTATTCTATTCTGTTCCTTTCCCTTCCCTCCCCCTTCACTCCCTCCTTCCATCTTTCCTGTTTATTCTTTCTCCGCCCCCCTTCCTCTTCTTTTTTTGGGGGGGCGGTATTGGGAATTCAACCTAGGGCCTTGATACTGAGGTACATCCCTACAACCTTTTTTATTTGTTGAAATAGAATGAGGCTAAGGCAGTGGGCCTTGAATTTGCAGTCCATCTGCCTCAGCCTCCTGAGTAGGTGGGATTATCATCATGCTCAGCTAGGTCACTGTACTCTTGATTCTCCTTATACCTCTGTCTACCCCTCAGACTCCTCTGCTAGTGTGTCTTCTTTCTTAAAACTTTTATTAGCACATGTTGGCATACATAATGATTATATTCACTGTAGGGACTTGGTAGGGATATATAACACATTTCAATTCCCTTCTTTTAACAACCTGCACCCTCCTTTTATTTCTGCAGCATCTGACTCATTTATTTATCTTATAAGATCTTATAAATTATCATATATACAGATTAAAAAGCAGACTAATAGGCCAGAGAACATAAAAAATGTAAGGCAATTGTACTAGCTCAAGGTCCTGTCCCTTTTCTGATGTTTAAGTGTTGGGATTCTCCAGGCTTGGGTGCCTTATTGCTGTTTCTTATGGGAACTCATTTTCTCCCATGGTTTCAGTTTCCATCTAAATGCAATTTGCATCTCCCACCTGAGACCTCTTATTTGAACTTTAGATCCATCCTTTTTGAACTCCAGATCTATACATCCACCTGTTGGACATTTCCACTTGTATGTCTTGCAGATACCTTCAACAAGTCTAGAACATGAACTAATTCAGCTCATTGTTTCAGCCTGCAGTTTGCTCCTGTGTTTCCATTCAGGAATTGCCATCCCCTTCTACCAGTTGTATAGGCCAGAAACCTAGAAGTCATTTTTAATACCTCCTGCTGCCTTACCCACCAAACCCAGTCAAACACCAGGGCTGTTAATTCTACATACTCAGTATTTCTCAACTCTGTCCTCTTTCTTTTTTCATTGTCACTATAATAATCAAAACTGCTATTACTTCTTACACAGACCCTATGACTCCTGACATGTTTTTGGATTTGATATAATGTACATAGTGGGAGGGTACTTCATCCAAAATGTCCATAGTGCCAAGATTAGAAACCTTTTGCTAAGTGAAAAAAGCTACACACAAGCTTTTGCTATTGTATGTTTTCTTTTGTAAGAAATAGCTAAAAATAGAAAAATT